CACTCGGGACAGAGCACGCCGCACCATTACCCTGACTCAGTCACACATGGTGCAGCAGGTCCTTCAGCGCTTCGGCTTCACGTACTCCTCGCCTCAGGCCACTCCTCTGCCTACTCGCCACTCGCTCTCAGCTCTGCCTTCGGATGAGTCCGTAGAGTCGAGTGGCCCGTACCCAGAGCTTGTTGGCTGCCTCATGTACCTGATGACCTGCACACGACCTGACCTTGCATACCCTCTTAGCATTCTTGCACACTATGTTGCTCCTGGGAGACACAGACCGGAGCACATGGCTGCAGCGAAGAGGGTGTTGCGCTACTTGTGCAGTACGTCGGGCATGGGGCTTGTGCTTGGAGGGCAGAGTCCAGTGGTCCTTACTGGGCACGCAGACGCTTCTTGGGCTGACGACCAGGCTACGCAGCGGTCGTCACAGGGTTACACCTTCAGCCTTGGTTCCGGCTCTGTTTCGTGGCGGGCTACTCGCTCGTCTTCTGTTCTCGGCTCCAGTTGTGAAGCTGAGATCTACGCAGGAGCCATGGCTGCACAGGAGCTTCGCTGGCTCACCTACCTGCTGACTGACCTCGGAGAGTTGCCTCGTTCTCCTCCAGTGCTGTACGTAGACAACAAGGCCATGCTGGCCTTGTGTCGGGAGCAGCGACTGGAGCACAGAACGAAGCACATTGCTCTCCGCTACTTTCTTGCTCGTGAGCTGCAGCAGCGTGGTCAGCTGCGTCTTGCGTACGTGGCCTCTGAGGCCAACACTGCTGATATCTTCACCAAGGCACTTGCGCCTTGTGACCATCAGCGCTTCTGTACTCAGCTGGGCCTTGTGCCTACCTTGCCTCACTTGCTCACCTCTTGACCTTGCTTGTACTGTTACATATATATATTCCTGCTCTTGTTTGTCTAGCCTTTTTATATATATATGTGTACTCCTGCTTGTGAACTGGCCTTGTGGCCTTGAACTTGTGCTCGGAATGTGTGGTGACTTTGTGATCCACCCTGAGCTTGTTTTTGCTTTGCTTTGCGTGACTGGTCTTGTGACCCCTTGTTCTCCCCCACTTTGCCTATGGGGGTGTGTCAGATTTATATGACATAGCTACTGTAGGCTATAGTGGGGTAGCACATATGGGGTACAGTTTCTTAGGGTTTACTTCTTGTACCCAACTTTCACTTAGTCTTTCATCATTCCTCGTTTCTTCTCACAATCCGCCTTCGACGCCCTCAAAAACATTTTGGGTTCACCCCCGGTACTCCGCCTCGCCGATCCATCTCGACCGTTCGAAGTCGTCACGGACGCCAGCGATTTCGCCGTCGGCGCCGTCCTGCTACAGGACTTCGGCCAAGGGCTGCAACCCATCGCCTACGAGTCACGCAAGATGCAGCCACCTGAGCGCAACTACCCAGTCCACGACAAAGAAATGCTGGCCATCGTCCATGCATTTCGCGTCTGGCGCTGCTACCTCACAGGAGCCGACGTGACGAATCGGACCGACCATAAATCGCTACAGTACATGCGCACGCAACCGACACTCAACCCGCGACAAATCCGGTGGTTGGACTTCCTCGAATCCAATTTCCGGTACACCATCACGTACAAAAAGGGCGCCAACAACATCGCCGACGCCCTTACCCGACCATCCATGCAAAACGCGGCAGTACTAATCGCCCACACCAACCCAATGCTAACAGGACTATTCACCCACGGCTACAAGATCGACAGGTTTTTTCGGAACCCGCAACAACAGGCTGCTACACCGCACGGCAAATACTACCTAAAAACCGGTACGAACCGGATTTGGGTACCAGCATACCAGCCTTTACGGGAGCTGCTGACGCAGGAGGTTCGCGACTCCAACCTCTCCGGGCATTTCGGCACCGACAAGACACTGAAGCTGCTGCAGCGGAATTATTACTGGCCGGACATGCAGACCGATGTGCAGCGCTACGTGTCAACTTGCCCGACCTGCCAAGCAATGAAGTCGTCGCGACAAAGGCCAGCCGGACTGCTGCAACCCCTCGCGCCACCCGAACGACCGTGGCAACAGGTGACGATGGATTTCGTCACGGGGCTCCCAGCTGGCACAAGTGGCAACGACTCGGTGTTGGTCGTCGTCGATCGCCTAACGAAGATGGCGCATTTCGCCCCATGCCGAACGACGATCACAGCCGAAGATACAGCCAACCTGTTCATCTCCACCGTCGTATGCCTACACGGGTTACCTTCGGCGATCATCAGCGATCGTGATCCGAAATTTACGTCGAAGTTCTGGCAGGAAACGTGGGCACAGTACGGTACCCGCCTGCAGTTTTCGTCGTCATACCACCCGCAAACCGACGGACAGACGGAACGGACAAATCAGACCATGGAACAGCTGATTCGCACCAACTGCCCCGACATTCGCAAGTGGGAAAATTCGCTGCCGATGCTGGAATTCGCGTACAACAACGCCCCGTCGGCCACGACTAAACAATCACCCTTCTTCCTGAATTACGGGATAGACCCCGTGGTACCCTCTTCAACGACTGTGGACAACCCGGTACCAAGATCGCAGCAGTTTGTCACGGAACTGCAAACCGCCCGAACGAAAGCAGCCGATTTCATTCGCAAGGCTAATACCACGGCCAGTCGCCAGGCGGATAAACACCGACGAAATTTACCCTTCCGCACAGGGCAGGTTGTACTTCTGGACACCAAGAACCTTCGGCTGCCGCAGCCCGCGAAATTACGGCCCCGATACGTGGGACCATTCCGTATCATCCAGATGGTGACACCTGTCACCGCGAAGCTGCTGCTGCCCGACGATTGGAAAATCCATGACGCCTTCCACGTCAGCCTGTTGCGTCATTACGAACAGCCGCAGTCGCCAGCTGTTGCTCGACCAACCATCGCGCCGACCACTCGCCCCGTGGCAGAGCCAACGCTGGAACCTTGGAAGATTCTTAACCATCGCGTGGATGTGATTGCCGCCGGCCGCTCGGTGAAATTCCTGCTTCGCTGGAAAGACCGCACGAGCGAGGACGACACGTATGTCGCTGCTGATTCGCTACTGGGACACCCGGTTTTGGACGTTTACCTGGCCCGCCGAGGTGTTTCGGATATTCACCACCTTTCTTAAAGGGGGGGGGTAGTGTAAGGAATTTTCCGGATTCCTTACTGGGTCACACTGTACGCGTACAACCCCGACTTTCGGAAAACCAGGCTTGGCCCGCCGACCTCGCCTTCCGAGCCACCACCGCGTCGCTTTCGGGTTTTCCAACCCCGAACCTGCACCCAACCATCTCGCGACCCCGCGACCTCGGCCTAGCTAGCCTTGCTATATTGTGCCTAGGCCTCGTTGTTCATTCAGACGTTGTAATCACTTCCGCATTATTGAGTTCTGCGCACTCTTTCCTTTCACAACTTATAACAGATTCATTGCACCCGTAACACTGGACCTGGATTTATGTTTTCGCTTCGCTGACTTGGCGTTACGCGCGGGAAACTGCCACTGCGGAGAGGTGAGAGACGGGGGAGGCGTGGTTGAGCCCTTTCTCCTCGGTCGTGACTTCCGCGCACGTCTCTTCAGCAGAGGCCGCGCAGAAATGCAAGCATTGGTTGCGCCGACGTAAGGGGAAGCCCACGCACGTGGTAGTCAACGCTGTCAATGCCCAGTCCCTGCCTTATGATTGGCTTTTTTGCCTCCAACCTGCATTTTCAGCAGGCGGTGCGTTGCCTCGCTGGCATACATTTCCGCCTTTCTCCCGATTCCCGAACCGCCCCCCCTTTCGTCCTCTTCTTCCCTCCCTCTCATCCCATCCCTTTCCTCCCCCTCTTCCTCTCTTACATTTGCTACTCGTCTGAATAAGTTCTGTCATCACTTATCTTTTTCCGAGTCCACCTCATTCCAGTATCACAGTACATGTATGCTTGTTGTTCGCCGTTCCAGAAGCGAGTTAGTTTTTGGTACCCAGCTTATTGTTCAGCTGTACTCGCAACGTTTGCTTACTAGGGAAGGATTTTTTGGGACTTGTTGTAGTTTTTTTTTTCTTCAACCGCTTGCTCGGAAACAGCAAATGGCTCGACGAAGGACCAACGTGATGTTTCTTTTCGGACTGCTGGCGTGGATACTACTTTACCCGACAACGGTTTCCTCCCAGAGTTAGTCCTGTTCTCATACCCAATGGAAAATATGATTCCTGTTTCTTTTATCTCGTTCTGCTTTCTGTTATCTTCAAACTACAATCTTTTATCGTTATATTCTTAACGATTACTGCGTAGAGAACGTCTACTTGATTTCGTACGTTTACGAAGATGCACCGAGATAATCTCTCCTCTTACTTCAATCTCTTTAACGTTGGACTCGTACACTGTCTCGTCGTACGTTTATCGCTGCGACCACAGACACTGTAGAGCCCTCTTGTTATTAAATCAAAAGTTTTTTGTGTGCAGTGCGGAACGCTCGTTCAAGTTCGAGTCAATGTCCGAACTTGAATTTGAGACGACTCGAAACGTCATTGTGTTTACCTCAATATGTGCAGTGCGGAACTTTCATTCGCGTTCGATTCAGTGGACGGATATGTTTTTTTTCACCTCTCCTTCGCTTTCCAGTTCCCTCTCTCGCGTTCGACTCGACTATCATGGATATGATGTCTCTTCATCTTATTTTCTCTTGTTAATATCTATCCGCTTTTCAACTACTAGTTGGATTGACAAGAGTAGGAAGCTGCGAAAGAGTGACTCCCAAAGTTGCGAGGAAGTAACGAAATAATTGCGGGAAAACATCTGGGGCGGATACTGATTCGCAGTTCCATATAGTATATCGAACTTATCTTAACTATATCGTACCCACCTCCCCCCCTCCCTCCTCGCATCAGGCATGCAAACGTGCTCTGGAAGCAACTGCAACACCACCATCACCACCACCACCACCAACAACAACACCAACTCTGCTAACGCCAATGCCGCCGCAAATTCCGGCAGCAGCGGCGGCAGCAGCGATTCCTCGAGTTTTAACCTCCCCATGCCTGCAATCATCGGGATTGCAGCGGGAGGAGCCATTGTGCTGCTGCTGGTAGCCATTGCGATCGGGCTCGCAGTGTGCAAGCCTCGCAAGACCGTGATTCGCCACGTGCGCGCTGCACCGCCACCCCTGCCAGTTGTGTACAAAGGTGCGAGGTGTGCGGGACGGTTGGGAGTGTTGTGGAACGGTTGCGAGGTGTGTGGAACGGTTTGGGGCTCTTTGCTATTGGGCTTAAGGTGTGCCGCCGCCTCACAATGCGATGTGTGATTGTGATTTATCCCGTGAAACTTGTGCGGCCTCCATCCCCACTTCTGAAAAATGTGATCAATGGTGCGAGGGTTGTGGAAACGGTTGGGAGTTGTGTGGAGCGGTTGAGAGGTGTGTAGAACAATTGCGTTCCTCCCTATCCAAGTGTGCATCGCTGTTGAGAATATGTTGCCCCGCCTCCTCAGAGGGCGATGTGTGATTGTGTGTCAGCAATGGTTGAGCCATGTTGCATACAGTCACCGTCGTCTCTTCTCCCTTTCCCCCTTTTCCTCTTCCCCCCTCCCCTTCCCCTCTCCCCCTCCCCCTCCCCTTCCCCCATTCCCCCCAGGCGCACCTCCCCCCATGATTCCCTACCCGGGAGGCCCCCCACCCCCCCAGGGCATGGGGGGAGCTGCTATGGCGGGGGGAGCAGCCATGGGCGCAATGGCAGGGGGAATGGGCGCAATGGGGGGGATGGGGGGCGGACAGATGGGCGGAGGGGGGGAGATGATGGGGGGAGGAGCGCAGATGGCATCAGGTCCGAACGCCCCTCCTTGGTCTGCAGGAGCCATGGGGGGAGCGGGGGCAGCGGGGGGGATGGGCGCAATGGGGGGAGGCGGGGGGATGGGGTCAGGGCACATGGGGGGAGGCGGGGGGATGGGCTCAGGGCACATGGGGGGAAGGGTGGCGGGGCAGGCAAGTCAGGGCAGCTCGGCCGGGTCTGTTGCGAAACAGGCGCTGCTTCAGGTGCGTTTTCAGGTGCTTCAGGTGCGTTTTCAGGTGCTTCAGGTGCGTTTTCAGGTGCTTCAGGTGCGTTTTCAGGTGCTTCAGGTGCGTTTTCAGGTGCTTCAGGTGCGTTTTCAGGTGCTTCAGGTGCGTTTTCAGGAGCTTCAGGTGCGTTTTCAGGTGCTTCAGGGGCTTCAGGCGAGTTTCAGGTGCTTCAAGTGCATTTTCAGGTGCAGCACCAGCAGAGACGGGGCATGCTACTTGCAGCTGGGTAGACAACAGGCGGATTGGCAGCAGCAGCTTCAGAGACGTGTATCGGGGGTTCAACTTTCGAGACGTCTCACCTGTCAGCTTCGGACACGCGTATCGGGGATTCAACCCATTCTTTAGGCGCCTAAAACAAAGCAGCTTCGGAGACCCGTGCATCGTGGCGTGGGTTCCACCCGTATAACCCCATCCGCCTCCCCTTTTTTCTTTTCACTTCCTCCCTCTTCCCCTTACCCTGCCCCTCACATTCCCTTGCCTTGTAGGTATTCAGGGATTACTCTTTAGCAGCAATGGAGCAGGCTACTTGCAGTTGGGCCGAGAACGGGCGGATCAGCAGCAGCAGCTTTGGGGGCGTGTATCGGGGGTTCAACCCGTATAAGGGCGTATCCCTGGGTGGTGGCAGGGCAACTGTAGCTGGCACTGTTGGTGGCATGCGCATTTTCCGGGCCCCTGTGTTTTTGGGAAAGTTGCCACCAACCTTGCCAGCTACAGTGGCCCTGCCACCAGCCAGGGATACGCCCTAACTCCATTTTTCCTCTTCCTCCTCCTTTCCCCCACTTGACAGGTGTTCAGAGAATCATCTTGAGCAGAGATGGAGCAAGCTAGATTTGACTTTTGAGTTTTGAGTCGACTCAAAGTCAACTTTTGAGTCGACTCAAAAGTCCTCCTCCTTTCCCCCACTTGACAGGTGTTCAGAGAATCATCTTGGGCAGAGATGGAGCAAGCTAGATGTAGCTGGGCGGAGAACAGGCGGATTGGCTAAGCCGTTTCATCCCTTCTCCCCGCCTTCTTATCACTGCCCTCCTCCCACCTCACTTCCCTGTCACAGGCATTCCGAGAATACTCTTTAGCAGAGATGGAGAAGGCTACATGTGGCTGGGCGGAAAACAGGTGGATTGGCCCATCCTGGATCCCTTCTCCTCTCCCCTTTTCCGCCTCCCCTCCCCTTGCTTGTAGGTATTCCAGGAGTACTCGCTACCAGAGATGGAGTAAGCTACTTGCATGTCATGCCTCGACCTCCTCCCTCCACCCTCTCCCTTCCACTCCTCCCTTCCTTCCCCTTCTCCCCTTGCTTGTAGGTATTCCGGGAGTACTCGCTACCAGAGATGGAGCAGGCTACATGTGGCTGGGCGGAGAACAGGCGGATTGGCAGCGGCAGCTTTGGAGACGTGTATCGGGGGTTCAACCCATATAACCCCGACGAGACTTGGGCAGTCAAGCGCTCGAGGATCATCACCCAAGACTTTCAGCGGGAGGTGGGTTGCTTTAAAAGGGGTATGAGGGTTCAGCCCGTGTAATCCTGTAGATTGGCAGCGGCAGCTTTGGGGATGTGTATAGGGGGTTCAACCCGTATAACCCCAAAAAAACATGGGCGGTTAAGTGGTCGAGGATAATCACCCAGGACTTCCAGCGGGAGGTGAGTGGGCTTGTAAGGGGGATATGCGTTTAGAAACACTGTCTGCCATTGATTCGATCTCTGGGGTACGGCATTTTTTGTCGCCTACTTGATTTGCGAGTGAGTCGACTTTTGACCGTTGGGATGCAGCATACAAATTAACGCACCGCTCTTTGAGTCGCCTCAAAGAATCGACTCGTGACTGCTGTGGGCTGCAGCATACGTGTATGAAGAAGTGTTTTGAGGCGTCTCAAAGCATACGAGCCAACTCACCGCTCCTCCCTTCTCCATTCTGCTTCTCCCCCTACCGTTCTGTTCCTCCCTACCCACCCCTCTCTCCCTCCCACCAGGTGAAGGAGATGGCATCGAAGCACCACCCAGTGCTGGTTTGACTGCTGGGCTATAGCATAAAGTTCAACCCGACCGCTCGTCGTGAGGTGCATTTTGAGGCGCCTCAAAATGCACCTCTCTACACGCAGATGGCATTGAAGCACCACCCAGCGCTGGTTCGACTGCTGAGCTGTAGCATAAAGTTCAACCCGACCGCTCCTCCTTCCCCCAATACTCTTTTTCGCCTCACTTTTTCCCCCACCCCTCCTTCCCTTTCTCCTTCTCCCCCCCAACAGGTGAAGGAGATGGCATCGAAGCACCACCCGGCGTTGGTGCGACTGCTGGGATACTGTATTGACTTCAACCCCCGCACTCAGAACATGGAGCAGATTCTGGTGTACGAGTTTGTGGATAACTGCGACCTCGAGAAGTGGCTGAGCCAAGGTGAGAGTGAATTGGGTGGGGTGGGGTGGGGTGCGGTGGGGTAGGGTGGGATAGGATGGGCTGAGAAGTGGTTGAGCCAGGTGAACCTTGACTTCAACCCCCGCACTCAGAACATGGAGAAGATTCTGGTGTATGAGTTTGTGGATAACTGCGACCTCGAGAAGTGGCTGAGCCAAGGTGAGAGTGAGTTGGGTGGGGTGGGGTGGGGTGGGGTGGCATGGGAAGAGATGGGGTGGGTGCGAGTGCAGGTGATGATAGGCGTGACAGAGGGGCTGCAGTACCTTCACAGAGGGGCTCTCCCCATACCCCCTCATGCAGTACCCCACACCATCTGTGTGTGCCGTACTCCTTTGTTCGCCTTGACGCAGACACACCTCGGCCACTCACGGCAAAGGAGCGAGCGAGTGCAAGTGATGATAGGCGTGGCGGAGGGGCTGCAGTGCCTGACTGACTGCTTTCCCTGAATGCGCCCGTCCCTGCACCTTCTTCCTCCCCACCCATCCCCCCCTTTTCAGACACACCGTGCCCACTGTCGGCAAAGGGGCGAGTGCAGGTGATGACAGTACCTTCACAGCTTTCCTCATGCCCCTTGATGCATGTATACCTGTGTGCATGTCGCTCCTCTGTCCCCTCAGACACACCTCGCCCGCTGACAGCAAAGGAGCGAGTGCAGGTGATGACCGGCGTGGCGGAGGGGCTGCAGTACCTGATAACACCCCCCTCCCTCTGTCTTCCCCGCCTCCCCCCCTTCCCCTTCCTCTGTCCCTGAAGACACACCAAGGCCGCTGACAGCCAAGGAGCGAGTGCAGGTGATGACCGGCGTGGCGGAGGGGCTGCAGTACCTTATGGTGATGTGTCTGCAGCCCTTATGGCATAGCCAGGTGATCTCTTGCCTGCAGTACCTTATGATATCCCTCTTCCTCTGTCTTCCCACGCATCTCTTGCCCTCGTCCTGTCTCCCCACAGACACAGCCCGGCCGCTCACGGCAAAGGAGAGGGTGCAGGTGATGATAGGCGTGGCGGAGGGATTGCAGTACCTGCACAGCTTTGGCATCGTGCATCGCGACATCAAGCCCGCCAACATCCTGCTTGACTCCAAGATGAATGTGAGCTGGAACATAGAGGGAGGGAGTGCAGTGCATGGGAGGGGCAGGGAGGTGTATGGGAGGGGACGGGAGGTGGAAGATAGAGGGGGACGGGAGGGATTGCAGTGCCTACCTGCACAGCTTTGGCATCGTGCATCGGGACATCAAGCCCGCCCGCTAACATCCTACTTGACTCCAAGATGAATGTGAGCCGGCAGTGTTGGATGGGATGGGAGGCGGTAGAGGTGGATGGGAAGGGGTGAAGAGAGTTGGTTCTTCGGTGTATACAAGCACCTGCAGCGACCCACTCTCATATGAAAGACCAAGAACGTTCTCCCCTCTCCCCTCGACCCTCTTCCCCCTCCCCTCTCCCCTCACCCCGTTCCAGGCCAAGGTGGCTGATTTCGGGCTGGTGCGGCTGGGAGAAGGCACGTCAGCTACCATGGCGTCTACCTGAGTGATGGGCACGGCAGGCTATGCAATGACCCCTTACCTGCTCCTTATTCCATGAACCTTCACTTAAACTCCAACCCGGAACATTCTCCCCTCTCCTTTCACCCCAATTCAGGCCAAGGTGGCTGATTTCGGGCTGGTGCGGCTGGGAGAAGGCACGTCAGCTACAATGGCGTCTACACGAGTGATGGGCACACCGGGCTATGTGGACCCTGCTTACTACAAGTCGCAGAAGGCCACCCCTGCCGCCGATGTTCACAGGTACAGAGCCGTGCATTGTCGCGCAGGGCGGTGCCAGCCGTTATTGGCCTATAAGTACGCTTGCAAGAGTGATGGCCACTCCGGGCTATGTGGACCCTGCTTACTACAAGTCGCAGAAGGCCACTCCTGCTGCCGACGTGCACAGGTACAGACAGAGTGGTGCAGGGAGGTGCAGAGCAGTGCCAACCGGCATTGGTTCACAAGTAAGTTCGCAAGACGGTTCAGTACGGTGCTTTGGTGCGGAGTTGCCCACAATAAATACCACTCACAGGCGAAGCACGGTGCTTCTCTTCTCTCCTCTCCGCTCCTCTCCAGTCCTCTCCTCTCCTCTCCTCTCTTCTCCGCTCACTTCCCTGCTTCCCCCCTCCCTCTGCCCGCCCCTGCCTGCGAGTGCAGCTTTGGCGTTGTCCTGCTAACAGTGATCACGGCTCGCCGGGCGATCTACGAAGTGGGGGACAAGCAGGTCAACATCAAGGACTGGGTAAGCTCTCTCTCTACCCTCCTAATGATTGGCTTGTTCTCTGTTTACCTGCCAACACACTGCCTTGTTCCTCCCTTCGAATCTACCAAGTGGGGGACAAGCAGGTCAACACCAAGGGCTGAGTAAGTCCTTCCTCTCCCCGCCTGCACTCTTCTGCTCGTTCTCGAATCTCTCTTCACCTGAAAGCACCCTACCTTGTTGGTCCCTTCTAATTTATGATGCCAGGGACAAGCAGGTCAACACCAAGGGCTGGGTGAGTCCTTCCTCTCCCCCTTCCCTTCTCCCTTATCGCCTACATTTGCCCTCCTGCGTTTCCTCTCCCTAGCAGTTAACTCCCTCCCTCCTTATGTCGCTACCTGCATTCTCCCATGGTGTGTCACACTGCGGCGGCCTTCCCGGACCCGCGCTTGAACGCACCCAACTCTGCTCTCCTACACATTCCCTCCCACCCTCACTTGAACTCTCTCCCTATCGCCTCCCCAGTCTCCTCCCCCATTCCAACAGGTGCTCCGCTTGTCGACGCAGTCTCCTCCCCCATTCCAACAGGTGCTCCGCTTGTCGACGCAGTCTCCTCCCCCATTCCAACAGGTGCTCCGCTTGTCGACGCGTGCAAAGCCCAGGCCTTCCGGGACCCGCGCCTGGACCCACCCAACCCTCACCGTCTCCCCCATTCACTAAGTCCCTCCCTTCTTTCTTCGTCCACCACCCATCACTCCGCCCCACTTCCAACAACAGGTCGCTCCGCTCGCCGACGCGTGCAACGCGCAGGCCTTTCGGGACACGCGCCTGGAAGCATCCCATCCCAACTTCACACTCTTTCTCCTGTTGTCCCTCACCCTCTTCCAACAGCAGGTCGCTCCGCTCGTCGACGCGTGCAACGCGCCGGCCTTCCGGGATCCGCGCCTGGAAGCGCCCGACGATCTCGTGCTGCGCCGCTGCGCCGTTCCCAATCTCCCTCCCTTCTCCTCTCTTTCCTCTTCCCACCCATCCTTCACCCTACCAACAGGTTGCTCCACTCGCCGACGCCTGCAACGCCCCAGCTTTTAGAGACCCGCGCCTGGAAGCGCCCGACGATCTCGTGCTGCGCCTCGCGCGCCTCGCCATCGACTGCACCAAGGTGCCCGTCGCGTCGCGGCCGTCCATGGCACGCGTTCTCGCGGAGCTCATGGATATGAAGGAGGCGTTCTTCGGGCCGGAAACGGACAAGGTGGTTTCGAGTATCGATAGGGAGATTGACGATTCGAATAGTCTGGGAAGCCTTACGATGGAGTTGAAAAAGGCGGAGCAGCTTGGAGCAGGCAGCGGGAGCGGAGGATTATAATGCTTTCTTTCAAATAATAAGTTATACGAGGTGTGGTTATGCAATGCGGCGCCCGTCGCGTCACGGCCGTCCGTGGCGCGCGTTCTCGCGGAGCTCATGGATTATGAAGGTGGCGTTCTTCGGGCCGGAGACCGACAAGGTGGTTTCGAGTATCGATAGGGAGATCGACGATTTGAACAGTCTGGGAAGTCTGATGATGGAGTTGAAAAAGGCGGAGATGCTTGGAGTGGGCAGTGGGAGTGGTGTCTGAATATGTTTCCAATAAATTAGTTACACGAGATGTCTGTATATAAGGGGTGCAGGCGAGCAAAGAAACCATTTTGTTGTCTTTGAAAACTGGTTGTCTTACATATATATAGAGAGATTGTACAAAAACCGACATTGAATTGAATGTATCATGGCCACGTTGAGAAACTACGGCGAGACTCAGTTGGATGGGGTCGTCTTGTTCTTATTTTCTCATGTCGTCACTAACATACAAATTAAGCATTCTCAACCTGGAAATGGTACCAAAAAGGACCTAGGTTTATAACCACTCCTTATCCTTATGTTGAGGAGGACCTTGCGGGAGCATTCATGCCCCACCCCGCAAGTTGAGCTGCTTGCAACTTGCACTGTAAGTTAGGAATGACTACTAGATGCCAAACAGCAAAACGGGCAGGTGTCAGAACATTTCGAACGTCTCTACCGATTGGTACTTTGAGTGTTTCAAAGCATTGCTGCTGAGCCTTTGCCTTGTTGGCTCGAGTATGGTTCTTGTAAATACACCCAATCACACAACAACGTAAGTATGCATTTCAACGACCTTCGCGTGGCACCTCAACCGAATCGAAAGATTCACTGCAGGATATTTTCGCACTACAGACAGTCAAGCCCATTGTTCAACACTGAGGACCATATGCGGCTCGTAAAGCTGCCCCCCCGGGTGATTTTTCTCGGTTCTTTGCCCAACTCGATCGACATGCGGCTCGTGAATGTGCCCCTTTAGGGCTCGACTCGACATTGGTAGAGAGAGAGCGAGAGCAGGACATGCGAGCAAGGCGGAGCATACACAGGCAGAGAGCATGCAAGCGCATAGGACGGATACTGAGGGTGGCCCTGCCCTGGACTCCAGCCAGAGTGTAATGCGCTACCAGTCAGGACTTGGAAAATTCCAACATGGCAGGGAACTCTCACACCAATGCCATGGCATTTTCCCCCGCATATCAGTTGCTTCTCCTTCCAACATGGAATGGCCCGTTTGCCATGCAGGACTCAGGTCCTTCTCTATTTGTCGTCCTTTCCGCGCCATGTTGCCTGCTGTCTGACCTTGGCCTTCGCTGTTCTGCCTCTGCACCTCAACTTTGTTTGGCAAACAGAATTCGTTTTGATGTTGGGGTCTCACGACGATTCACGGCTCACGTCACGACAGCCGCTCATACACCTTTTGGCCTAGAAAATTTATCCACAGAAAGTCCTTCCTTCCTCACTGCAGATTATTGAGAAAAGCCTGACCTTTGCAGACAGAACTTTCAGCGGATTATAGTTACTAGACATTGTCATTACTCGCGAAGCAGCCTTATCAGACGATGAACGCCATGGATCACTACTCACAATGTCGCTCGATGCATCACGGCGAATCCGATGATCTGCTTCTTCAGGTCCCCATTCGCTGGACCCCGCCGCATTCGCCACGCGTCCTGAACGTGGCGATGCACGTTGGCGAAACTGGTAACCCGTCCGTAAAAAGCCGCGGATTCCCCGTCGCTTTGCACCTTCGTCCAGACGACGCATCTCAGCAGCCAACCGCCGGCAGCAGCTTCGGCAACGTTCCGTCGATTGTGTCCCCCCGGCACTGCCCTCTTCCGCCTCATCCCCCCCACTTGCAATCTTCCCCCGATGTTCCCCACGGGTCCGCGGCGGCAGGTCCCCGCGAACTCCCCCGGCAGCACTGCGGCAGGCCCGCGACGCGTGGCGCCGCAGATGCATGCGCCGCGGTTGCGCGCCTTGGCGGCGGCGAGATCATCCTAGAGACGGAAAGCGACGAAACAGCGCCGCGAGCAGTAACGACCGAACCGCTGGTACCGGAGAAACCTACTCCGTAATAGGAGTAGCAACGGCGGCGGCAACACCGGCGACAGCGGCAGAGGCGGAAATTAATGCGATGAAAAAGCGACTGGGTGCGAAGATGCAGTTTTCCACGTGGGAGCAGCAGCAGAAGGAGCGGAAGCAGCAGCAAGACGCGGCGGCGAGTGCGGCGCAGCGCGCGCTGAAGCAAGCGCAGGAGGAGCTGCTGTTCCCCAAGTACAACGCGCCGGGACACGCGGAGCCGCCGCACCCGCCGCATCAGGCGCCGCCTCACCCGCCGTTCCAGGCGCCGCACCACGCGCCGCAACAGGCGCCGCTCCAGCAGCCCAGTCCGCCGAAAACCTCCGCGCCGGAGGCAAAACTGCTGGAGACGAAATTGCCGCCCGGAGTACCGATATTCGGCAGTAGAGTGGAGCACTCAGGCATTTCCAGCAACGGCGATCATGGCGGCATGCCTTGGGGCAGGGAAATTCGCAGGGGCTACGAGGAGTGCGGAAGCGTCGAGAGTGGTGCTGTTGGGTTTGGAGGCGGAGTGGCCCGGTCTGTGAGCCGAGACAGTGCTGATGGGGGGGGGGCGTGGAGGAGGGATGGCGGGAGGAGCAACACACCGCCGGTGGAGCATGGCATGTGGGGCAGGGAGCAAGGGAGGAGTGGCGGAGAGTGCGGTGGTGTGCGGTTGGGAGACGTGGGGAGGGGTGACAGGGAGTGCAGTGGGGCGTGGAGGAATAACTGGGAGTGCGACAGCATGGGGTGGGACCATGGGGAGTCATACAATGTGGGCAGCAACGCGAGCAGCGTTGATAACAGGGTTGCAAGTAGCAGCCATGGCCAATCTTCTTCTCACCATCATGCACGCGATTCGGCATATCGTACACACAACGCCCATCACTACTCTCCTCCTGTCAGCCACGTGTCACATGGCTATGCTGACTCAGCAGCCGGAGCAGCAGCAGCAGCCTTAAAACCGTCGCCACCTGGCAGCACGGTCGCATTATCCGGGGCATCAGGCCACGTGGCACCATCCCACGTGGCACCATCCAACGTGGCATCAGGCCACGTGGCATCTAGTGGAGGCTGCAGGGTGTTCTCTCCGGAGCAGCTCATCGCAGCAACCAATGGCTTCCACTCCTCCAACCTGCTCGGCGCTGGTGCCTTCGGCCAGGTACCAACCTTCAGTGAACCTTCGCTTCGCATAACCTTCTCTGAACCTTCTCTGACCCTTCAGTTTGCTAACCCCTTTCTCGCGCATGCGCCATCCTCAATCCCTCTGCTCTCTGCTCTCTGCTCTCTGCTCTCTGCTCTCTGCTCTCTGCTCTCTGCTCTCTGCTCTCTGCTCTCTGCAGGTGTTCAAGGGCAACCTCTTGGGCTGTGACGTGGCAATAAAGAAACTCCAGGGGAACGGGTGGCAGGGCGAGGAGGAGAACGGCACAGAGGTGCACGCGTGCGCTCGCGCATGCGCCATCCTCAACATCCCTCTGCTCTCTCCTCTCTCCTCTCTCCTTTCTACTCCCTTCTTCCTGCCTTTCCCCCACAGGTGTTCAGGGGCAACCTGCTGGGCTGAGACGTGGCGATCAAGAAGCTTCAGGGCAGCGGGTGGCAGGGCGAGGAGGAGTATGGCACAGAGGTGCATGTGCTGTCGCGCATGCGCCACCCTCGATCCCCCTCCGTTCTCTGCTCCCTGCTCTCCCCTCTCTCTCCCCACAGGTATTCAAGGGGAGTCTGTTAGGCTGCGAGGTGGCGATCAAGCGGTTGGAGGGCAACGGGTGGCAGGGAGAGGAGGAGTATGGCACAGAGGTGCACGTGCTGTCGCGCATGCGCCATCCTCACATAGTGCTGCTCATGGGCCACTGCCCCGCCATCAACTGCCTCGTCTACGAGTTCCTTCCCGGAGGGGACCTTTCACACCACCTCTGCTCTGCTGCTGCGTCCCACCCTGCGTCTTCTGGTGGTGGCGCTGGTGCTTCTACTGTTGGTGGTGCCGCGGCGACCAGCGCTTTGTCTTCACTCTGCCGCCCGCTCTCCTGGCCGGATCGGATCCGAATCTTATCCGAGATCTCCGGCGCGCTGCTCTACCTGCACCAGCACTCGCCCCCGATCGCCCACCGCGACTTAAAGCCGCAGAACATCCTCCTCGATACAAGCCTCCGCGCTAAGCTTGCTGACGTGGGCTTGGCTCGCCTTATCGACTGCGGAAACGGGGACGAATACGGAGAAGGAGGAGGGGGGAATGTGACGGCGAGAGTGAGGGGAACGGTGGGTTATATTGACCCGGAGGAGCTGGTTACGTGTGAGGTGTCGGTTCTAGGGGATGTGTATGCGTTGGGGGTGGTGATGCTGCAGATGCTGATGGGGGACCCAGTGGTGAAGCAGACTGTGAAGGTGATGCGAATGGCGCATGATGTGTTGGAGAAGGGGCAGTGGAGCAGCAATGAAACCAGCAGCAATCACACTGGCAGCAGCAGCAACACCAGCACAGCAGCCAGCAGCAGCATCAGCAGCAACAGCAGGGGCAACAGCGCCAGTAACAGATGGACACGTCACCTGACCCCAAGCCTGCACAAGGCAGTGAATGTGATTATAGGGAGGCTGGACGACTCAGGAGGGAAGTGGGATCGTGGTGCGGCGGCTGAGGTGGCAGCGATCGCAATCTGCTGCACCAATAGGAGGCGAGCGAGCCGACCGGACCTTGAAAGGGAGGTGCATGAGGTGCTGATGCAGCTGGCAGAGGAGAGTGCTGGGAGTGTGGAGAGGCAGCAAGATGCGGCCGACAGTCACCTGCTCTGTCCCCTGTCTAAGGTGAGCGAGGGTGTTAGTCATTTCTTGAAAGGGAGGTGCATGAGGTGCTGATGCAGCTGGCAGAGGAGAGTGCTGGGAGTGTGGAGAGGCAGCAAGATGCGGCCGACAGTCACCTGCTCTGTCCCCTGTCTAAGGTGAGCGAGGGTGTTAGTCATTTCTTGAAAGGGAGGTGCATGAGGTGCTGATGCAGCTGGCAGAGGAGAGTGCTGGGAGTGTGGAGAGGCAGCAAGATGCGGCCGACAGTCACCTGCTCTGTCCCCTGTCTAAGGTGAGCGAGGGTGTTAGTCATTTCTTGAAAGGGAGGTGCATGAGGTGCTGATGCAGCTGGCAGAGGAGAGTGCTGGGAGTGTGGAGAGGCAGCAAGATGCGGCCGACAGTCACCTGCTCTGTCCCCTGTCTAAGGTGAGTGAGGGTGTTACTCATTTCTTGAAAAGGAGGTGCATGAGGTGCTGATGCAGCTGGCAGAGAAGAGTGCTGGGAGTGTGGAGAGGCAGCAAGATGCAGCCGACAGTCACCTGCTCTGTCCCCTGTCTAAGGTGTGTGGTTCATGCCAGTTTCTTTGGTCTGGGTGAGTGAATGAGTACCGTACTGTATACGATTTTTAAATGCTCAATACTATTCACCGGTATGCGACACGTGTGTTGTTGTGCAGATGCGCATGAGGGAACCGGTGGTGGCAGCAGATGGGTACACCTACGAGAGGAAGGAGATTGAGAAATGGATGGAGACCAACAGCAGGTCTCCCATCACAGGAGAGCCGTTTGAGCATCCCATGCTCACTCCCAACAATGCGATGAATGTGATAATCCAATAATGTGGCTGTGTGCCTCTAGAAGGGCGTGGTTAATATAAAATTTCTGTGCGTGGATGCCACATAAACTGCCTCATTGAAACCAGTGTTACCATCCCTAATTCCTAGGAAGTTCTGTACAAAAAACACTTGAGAAATGGATGGAGACCAACAGCAGACCTCCAATCACAGGAGAGCCGTTTGCGCATCCGATGCTCACCCCCAGCACGACCTTTCAGTGCTTGAATGCCACTAAAAGCATCCTCAAATTCAGTAAAATGAGCACCCATTCTGAAAAGCGTTGAAGGCAATAGCTATGTAAACGATGGCCTTGGTAAGTGAAGGTCGTCTCAGGCTGGTTAGCTAGTTCCACTCAGTAAAAAACACAACACAGGTCCACAGGTCCATAATATCTCAGCCTCTGCAACGCTGTGTTCTGCTATCACACAAGTACCATAATTGGTTCTGCTATCTGTTCACATGAAAAGTGAGAGCCGTTTGAGCATCCCATGCTCACTCCCAACAATGCGATGAATGTGATAATCCAATAATGTGGCTGTGTGCCTCTAGAAGGGCGTGGTTAATATAAAATTTCTGTGCGTGGATGCCACATAAACTGCCTCATTGAAACCAGTGTTACCATCCCTAATTCCTAGGAAGTTCTGTACAAAAAACTCTTGAGAAATGGATGGAGACCAACAGCAGACCTCCAATCACAGGAGAGCCGTTTGCGCATCCGATGCTCACCCCCAGCACGACCTTTCAGTGCTTGAATGCCACTAAAAGCATCCTCAAATTCAGTAAAATGAGCACCCATTCTGAAAAGCGTTGAAGGCAATAGCTATGTAAACGATGGCCTTGGTAAGTGAAGGTCGTCTCAGGCTGGTTAGCTAGTTCCACTCAGTAAAAAACACAACACAGGTCCACAGGTCCATAATATCTCAGCCTCTGCAACGCTGTGTTCTGCTATCACACAAGTACCATAATTGGTTCTGCTATCTGTTCACATGAAAAGTGTGAGGTGGTTACTAGTGTGGGAGTGAAGAAAGGCGCCAGTGTGATACGTTTGACTAAAAAAGATCAAGTATGATGGTTGGTTTGAACGCACAGTAAATGCACTGGTTATCACTTCCTTCTACCTACTTACCTCTCAACGAAAAACAAGTAACTGTAAAATATATCCGGTTCTTGTGTGCGGTTACTAAGACAGAACTGGGACGCGCAATGCTAACAGTGAAACCTGGACACTGATTTGTGCAATCGACGAATCGTGGCAAAAGGGTAATTGCCGTATCAAGTATTTAGCTCATTTTAATGCACAATAGGTACAAAAAACATTTACGACACGACGATCTGGCCAACCATGCCAGCGCCCTGGTGGGGCTCGCAGTAGTACTCGTAGGTGCCGGCGGCGGTGAGCTTCACGGTGAAGGTCTCCCCAGGAGCGTTGAGCAGGTCGGGGTGGGAGATGGCATCAGCGTCAACACCGGCGGGAACCTCATCCTCGTCGAAGACGACGTTGTGGGGGAAGCCAGCGTTGTTCTTGAAGGTGATCTCCTCACCGGCCTTCACGTTGGAGACCTTGGGGACGAAGGCAAGAGAACCGTCGCCGGCACCCATCAGGATATTCGCGGCGTTGGCGCTGCCGGCGAGGAGCACGGAGGCACCGACGGCAACGAGGGCCTTGGAGGCATCCTTGAGGGACGCGCTCACGGGAGCAAGCTTCACGGCAGCGGGAGCGGCCTTCACGGCGACTTTCTGGACGGTCACGGCCTTAAGGCCGGAGAAAGTCGGCAGGGAGGCGACAGCAGCCATCTCTGTGAGTGATATGGAAACGAGTAGAGATTAGCTGGAGTGAAGATTGAGAGAGTGCACGGATTGCTCGTACATCGTACTCCTCAATTTGGTTATGTAGATCAGGTTGGAGAGAGTGGAGGTGAGGGCAGTGTGAGAGGAAAGACTTCCACGTGGCACGATGTGGACAAGTATTGCTCGTACTTCCACGTGGCTGGTTTCCGTAAGCGCACTTCGGATGGCCCTGCCACGAATGCAGTGCTCGTGAGGGGCCACACCATGTCAGCAGTCTACGCAATCTGGGTGCTATCTAAGAATCCCCACACAGATCGTACCACCAATCCGAAAGGAGGTTCGGGATCTAAGCCAATACGTGAATGTCGGATGACGTGGCAACAGAAGCATTACAGCATGTGCAAGCGACACGATTGCTCGACAACCTCTGCACCAGCAACTCGCGTGCCACGTCAAGGTCCTGTGGAGCTCAAAAGGTCCTGTAACGAGGAGAAAACCTCTGTAGAAAGACGTGTAACATGGATTTGAAAAATAAATCTCAGAAGTATAAGTTGTTATATAAGGATTTTTCTCGACATTCATTACCGCGCCCATCAACATCGCGTACAGCAGCAGCCGTTGTTCGCCTGTTACTTCTAACGGGGCTTTGCCAAATTCGTGCGCACTGTTTCACCAAAGCATGCACCGCTGGTCAGGCCGAGTCGGCCTACGCTTCGGGGCTACCCGGAACCACGATGTCAGCCTAGTACTAGCTAGCTCGTACGCACCGCGTAACCGTTGCATGTTTTCGCACAAAAGTATTCGCTCATGCCTTCGCTCATACTTTGTATCTTTCGCCCACCTTAGTGCAATCTTCGCTATCTCGGACCACGGCATCCGTAACACTACGTATTAAGAGCAACCTTCTTTTCGGACCTCGCATCTCCGCACAAAGAGGAATCAACTTTCGCCCGCAACGACGGAGACGACGACCACGGCACGACACACCCCGGAGCGACGAACGAGGCCAGAAGCCAACCGCCCGTCACGATTTCGGTGCCGGCCGGCGAGTCTGCACTGTCGTCGCCGATGCTGCTGAAGCCGCAGCGTCCGCCTTTCTTTGACCCGAGTCAACGGCCTGGTCCTACCGTTCAGACGTGGTTGTTCACCATGAACGTATTTTTCGACGCGAACTACGTCTTGGAGGATTTGGCGAAGATTCGCTACGCCATGTGGCTGCTGCGAGGACCAGCCATAGATTGATGGCGCGTCATCGTCACGAAGCCAATGGAAAGACAAACCAGACCCTGGGCGCCGTCGCATTTCGTGGAGGTGCACCAATATCGCACATGGGACGCCGTAGTGCGCAAGTTTGCGCGCACGATTCGAGCCAATTGCGGCTTCGATCGCGGCGCGACATAGGCTCCGCACTTGGCGCCAGCTCAGTTCCGTTCAGGACTACACCAGGTGTGTTATATGTACGAGGGCGAGTGCATCGACCGCTACATCGGTGGCCTGAAACATGAAATCGCCCAAGAAATCCAGCTTTGCAACGTCACTGGATTCCAGGATATCCTCGCTATGGCGGAGAAGCTCGACTTCTTTCACCAACCGAGATCAGGGTCCTACAGCGATAACAGCAGCTGCGAATATCGATCTCATGGGACGAACAAGCACGCCACGATACGTGCCGCCGCCGCACCACTCAAAGCGCGCTGCTTCGCGTGCAACAGGCCGGTGTCAGAGGTCCACTGGTGATCCCCGATTGATCCTAGGGAAGGGTTACAGGCTCGTTGTCCTGGGGGGTTATGGGCGCACTGACCCGCTACTTAAAAAGCCCTTTTATCCCAATGATCTAGTGGTTGGGATTCTGACATGGTATCAGAGCGAAGGTCACGGGTTCGAATCCCAGTGTGTGCACTTTGGGCATCCCAATGCGGGGGGGTGTCAGAGGTCCACTGGTGATCCCCGATTGATCCTAGGGAAGGGTTACAGGCTCGTTGTCCTGGGGGGTTATGGGCGCACTGACCCGCTACTTAACAAGCCCTTTTATCCCAATGGTCTAGTGGTTGGGATTCTGACAGCCGGGACACCGCAAAAGCGAATGCCCGGAAAACGCTAAGGGAAATGGGGAAGCTGAGCAGCAGAAACGAACCAAGTAGCAGGGAAACGCTGGGAGTTAGTAGCAGACAGGCCCTCTACTGACAGGTCACGCCGCTCGCCCGAGCCAACCGATCCTCACCGAATGATTGTGCCGGTTCACGCAATCGACCACACCCGGCCGAATAAGGAGGGTACGGCGGTAGATAGCCCCATACTGCCTAGTGGGAAGATTGTGACAGACTTAGTTAAGAACTTCATAGACAGGGGAGCCAACCACAGTCTCATCAACACTACCACAGCACGGAAAGTAAAATTGCCATTGGATACAAATTGACGCAAGACTGGTCGACGACACGCTACTGTTGATACGGGAACGTATGGACCGAGTTCGGATTCGATGCGGGGTTAACTTCAAGTTTAGCCAGGAAATGCTCGCAACGACCCTCGACAGAACCGACATTTTACTCGGCCGCGATTGGCTGCAACGACTCAATCCGCGAATCGACTGGACGACGAGTGACTCCACCGTGTGAGTGAACGGTAACAACATCGCCTTACCTCACTGGGGCTCGCCTGAGTCTTCGTCGGTGCGTCTCAATGCCATCACGATGAAACACGCTGTAGCGTCAGAAGCTGATGTGTATGCGACTGACCCAAACCGAACTGGATGAACTGAGGAAGCAGCTAGATCACCTGCTCGAGAAAGAATTTATTCGCCCGAGATCGTCACCCTTCGCAGCACCAATACTGTTAATACTGAAAAAGGACGGGGGATTTCGCATGTGCATTGACTACCGCGCACTGACCCGAGTTATTATCGAATCCCATTACCCCATCCCGCGATCCGACGAACTGATGGACCAACTTCGCACAACCCGGGTCTTTTCGAACTTTGCCCTTCGGGGAGGTTACCATCAGATCCACGCCAACCCACCCGACTGCCTGAACACAACTTTTCGAACACGCTACGGATCGTTCGAATACACAGTATTGCCCTCCGGACTGACCAACGTCCCCGCAGCCTTCAAATGACGATGAACGAAGCCTTCCGCCCGCTTTTAGATGAGTGCGTCGTCGTGTACTTAGACGACATACTGATTTACAGCCTAGACAGAGCACATCACCTACAGGACATCGAAGTAGTTTCCAAAATACTGAGTGAGAACAGACAACTGACTAAGGCCTCTAAGTGTGAGTTCCTACAGGACAGACTGGAGTTTTAGGAACACATTATTTCAGCCAACGGAGTGGAAATAGACCCGAAAAAGATAGCGACCATTCAAGCATGGCACGCACCGACAAATCTGACCGATCCGCAAAGTTTCCTGGGGTTCGTCAACTACGTGCGCCACTTCGTCCCCGACATGGCGAAGTTGACTGCCCCGTTGAACGACCTGCTAGGGAAGGGGGTTGAGTACACGTGGAGGGAGAAAGAGCAAGCTGCCTTCTTGACCCTCATGAAAATTTTGTGCTCGCTGCCCTTACTGCACATCGCTGATCCACAGCGCTCGTCCGAACTGGTCACCGATGCGAGCGACATCGCCGTAGGAGCACTGTTGTTGCAAGACTTCGGGAACGACCTCCAGCCAATCGCGTACGAGTCCCGCAAGCTTCACCCGTCCGAACGCAACTACCCAATACAGGACCACGAGATGCTGGCGATCATGCACGCGTTCAAAGTGTGGCGATGCTACCTCATCGGAGCAGATGTGATAGTACAGATAGATTACAGATCACTACATCGCCCAACTGAATCTCAACCCGCGAGAGATCCGTTGGTTGGACTACTTGGCCACATCGTCACGTACAAAAAAGGGGCATCGAATATTGCCGACGCACTCACCCGCCCCACCGCCCAACTTCACGCCATTCTACTCGTCCAAACCAACCCACTGTTAACAGGCCTATTCACCCACGGATACCGCACTGACCCATTTTTCACGACCGGAAGTTAACAGCAACTGGCAGAAGCAAAGGGAGTCTACTACGTAAAAGCAAGCACCAACCGCATCTGGGTACCCGCGTACTCACTACTAAGGGAACCGCTACTGCAGAAGGCACACGACGGGGTTACCTCGGGTCACTTCGGGGTAGAAAAAATACGACAGCAACTGCAGCGGCATTACTACTGGCCGAAGCTGTTGATCGACGTACAACACCACATGGGCTTGTGTCCTACGTGTCAGGTTATGAAGAGCTCGCGAAAACAAAAGGCAGGTCAATTGCAGCCGATTCTACCACCCAAGCGCTCCTTGCAGCAAGTTGCCATGGATTTCGTCACGGGGTTACCTTCGAAACCTTGGGGTAACGACGCGGTTATGGTCGTCGTTGAAAGACTGACGAAAATGGCTCACTTCGCTGCGTGCAGGAAATCGATCTCAGCCGAAGAAACCGCTCGTTCATCACAGCCGTCGTTCGACTGCACGGGATACCAGCCGCAATGATCAGCGACTGTGACACAAAGTTTACCAGCAACTTCTGTTGGGAGCAGTTCGTGTCAGATTTATATGACATAGCTACTGTAAGCTATAGTGGGGTAGCACATATGGGGTACAGTTTTCTAGGGTTTACATTTGTACCCAACTTTCCCTTAGTCAATTCATTCTCGTTCAGTTTCTCATGGTATCGAGCAGGTTCCCCTGTGGGAACTGTTCCTAGGGCCCACCACCTTTTTTTTCCTGCCCGGAGCGCGCTCTACACTGCCCGAGTCGCGCTCCCCTCTCTCGACCCTGTCGCGCCGCCTTAGCGGCCCCGTCGCGTCGCGCCTGCGGCCCCGTCGCGTCGCCCTCGCGGCCCCTGCACGTCGCGCCGCCCTAGCGGCCGCGTCGCGCCGCCCTCGCGGCCCCGATCCGCCGCCCTCGCGGCTCCTTCGTGTCGCGCCGCCTCGCGGCCCTTTCACGCCGCCCTCGCGGCCCTTTCTAGCCGCCCTCGCGGCCTCTTCAAGCCGCCCTCGCGACCCCCCCCTCCTAGCCGTCCTCGCGGCCCCGTCGCCTACCCCTGCGGCCCCGACGCCGCCCTTCCCTGCCTCGGCGCCGCCTCTGCTGGCCCCGTCGCCTACCCCTGCGGCCCCGGAGCTGCCCTTCCCGGCCCCGGAGCTGCGCTTCCCGGCCCCGGCGCCGCCTCTACTGGCCCCGACGCCGCTCCACCCGGCCCCGACGCCGCTCCACCCGGCCCCGACGCCGCTCCACCCAGCCCCGCCGCCGCTCCACCCGGCCCCGCCGCCGTCCCCACGCGGCCCCGCCGTCACCACCGAGCCGCCGGCGCCGCCGAGTTACTGCCGAGCCGCCCGATCCACCAGAGCCGCCCGAGCCGCCGCGCCACCTGAGCCGCCCGAGCCGCCGGGTCGCCGAGCCGCCGAGCTGCAGTTGCTGCCGAGCCGCCGTACCGCCGAGCCGCCCGAGCCGCCCGAGCCGCCGAGTCGCAGTTGCTGCCGAGCCGCCGTACCGCCGAGCCGCCCGAGCCGCCCGAGCCGCCGAGTTGCCGACCCGCCGAGCCGCTCGAGCCGCCCTGTCCGGTAAGAGCAGCGCCTCTGTCACTGCACTGCCCTTACCCTACTGTTCGCGCTGCTAGTCTACTGCTGTCATGGCTACCCCTAGTGTCCTCGCTTTTGACGCTGAGGGTCGGGCCATTGACTTTGACGTCTGGGTAGATGACCTGCAGCTTTTCCTACAGTGCGATAGGGCAGACGGTCTCTCCCTCTTTGACCTCACCTCTGGTGCCTCTCCTGCCCCTGCTGCTGATGCCGACGCCACTGTTCGCTCACAGTGGGCCACACGCGATGCTGCTGCACGTCTTGCTGTGCGTCGCCACCTGCCTACCTCTGAGCGTGCGCACTTTAGC